ATACATCTGACAGAGGATTAATTACAGAATATATAAAGAACTCAAAAATCAAAGAGTTACAAAAATAAATGGTCTATTTAAAAATAGGTTATGAATTTGAAAAGAGTTCTCATAAAAAAGAAATAAGAATGTACAAGTAATATTCCAAAAAGTGTTCATCATCCTTAGCAAGTAGGAAAGTGCAAAATAAAACAACTTTGTAATTTAATTTTACTTCCATCAGAATGGCTAAGATTAAGAAAATAACCAAGAACAAATGTGGGAAGAAGGATGTGAAGTAAACAGAACACTCATTCACTGTTCGTGGACTGCAAACTGTCCCACCTGCTCTGGAAATCAGTGCAGAAAATTTTAAAATAAACTAAAAATGGATTTACCATCTGATTGAGTTATACACACCTTAGCATATGCTCAAACTTCTCAAGATCATACTTCACAGATACTTGTTTGGTCATGGCTACACTCTCTATTTGCACAGCTAGGAAATGGAAACAATGCAAATGCTTCAACTGACAAATGGATAATGAGAATATGGTACATATACAAATGGAGAAGTATTTAGCTGTAAAGAAAATATGAAATCATGAATTTGGTAGGTAAATGTTTGTAACTAGAATATATTATATTAAGTGTGGTAACACAGACCTAGGAAGACACACTCATGTTCTCTCTCATTTGTGGTTTCTAGTTCCAACTCTTCAGATGTTATTGTGTAACCCGGAGTCACTGCAGAAACCAGAGAAGAGAAAAGGGACCATGGGATGTGAATGAGCTCTAAAGAGGGGAATAGAATGATAAGGTTCTATGAAGGAGAAAAATGGGAAAAATGAAGTGTGTATGGGGTTTAACTGGGGAAAAGGGGGACAATATAAAAATAGGGGGGAGGAGAGATAAACAACACTAAGGATATTTTGTTTTATATTTACTTAAAATTGCATATATTATTTCTAAACATATGCACATACACATTAATGAAGATATGTCATTTGGGATAATATTGCTTCTTTAAAAGCCTTAGACTATCTAATATAACTTCTAGTAACGGGCATGAGAAGCCTTCTTTTGGGTTGATAACCAAGGGAGTAAAGGGTATCCAAAAACAATAGAGACTATTGCTATTGCCCTTGGTTGCCACATAGATGTTGAAAGTCCATCCTTATTGCTAAATATACCTCATACTTTCATATAGGAATTGTAGAATTCAAGGTATATGTGATCCAAAATCCTTCTCCCTGAGGACTATCTTTATTAGTTCTGGAAGATGCTATGTGAATTGCCATGGGTGGAAAGCAATCAGTAGTCCTACTATACTGGCTAGTTTTATGTCAATCTGACACAAGCTAGAGTCATTACAGAGTGGGGCTTAGGTTGTGCCACTGGCCTGCCTGGCTCCATTGGATCCAGGCAACTGGGAGAAACCCATAGCCCCACCTGGTGAGCTTGGTCTGAGATGGGAGAAAACAACTATGGGCCTGCCCAGCACTTTTCAGTATAGAGCTGTTAGCACTATTATGCTCAGCAAACATGGTGGGGACATGGTAGAGAGAACAAGAGGCAGAGGGAGAGAGGCAGAACAGTCCATGTGCTGAGGAGAGAGGCAGATCTGAAAAAGGCAGTGGGGAATGGGTTGATGTAGGTGGCCTGGGACCATGGTGATATCTAGGCCCAGACTACTGCAAAGGGCCATGTGTGTGTGATTGTGACCCTGCCGCAATCATGGTCTGTGCGGATACTCCTTGCTCCAGGTAACACCAAAGGCAGCATAGATGCTAAGGTCTGGGCTGCCCCCCTGTGATGGAGGAAGGTCATTGAGCAATAAAGAAACTGCTTGGCTGGTCCTGATAGGTTAAAGCATAGGTAGGAGGAGTAAACAGAATAGAATTCTGGGAGGAAGAGGAAGTGAGGTCAGACTCTGCTCTGCTCCCGGAGAGACCCGACAGCTCTGCTCTCTGGAGCAGAGATGCCATGCTCCGCTCTCCCGGGCAGATGCATGCAATGAAGCTCCTCCGACCCAGGATGGACGTAGGCTAAAATCTTCCTGGTAAGCGCACCTTGGGGTGCTTACACAGATGATTAGAAATGGGCTAAATTAATATGTGAGAATTAGCCTAGAAGAGGCTAGATAGAAATGGGTCAAGCAGTTAAATGAATACAGTTTGTGTGTTGTTATTTTGGGCATGAGCTAGCAGGCAGCAGGGGTGCTGGGGACGCAGCCCCGCCGCTCCTTATTTCAACACCCCTGGGGTCATGTTGGGGTCTGGAGACCATGGTACTGTTGGACTCATGCTGAACTGAGTGGCTGGAACTACTATCTGGGGCCATGTTGATATCTGGGCCCAAACTGAGGATGAGGGCAATATCTAGGTCCATGGTCCTGTTGCAGGTGAGGTATCTATTGATGTCTGTTGTCTGCATTACTACAGGGACTTATTTTAGGAGGAGAGGGCCACTTGTTGATCCTGAATGCTTAGCCCTGAAATAATCACACAGAAACTGTATTGATTAAATCGCTGCTTGGCCCATTAGCTCTAGCTTCTTATTGGCCAACTCTTATTAATTTAACCCATTTCGATTGATCTATGTATTGCCATTTGGCTCTGACTTACCAGCTAAAGTTCCAGCATCTGTCTCTAGCAGGGCTACATTGCTTCAGTCTGACTCTGCCCTACTTTTTCCCAGAATTCAGCCTAGCTTTCCCTGCCTACATAAGTTCTGCCTTGCTATAGGTCCAAAGTAGTTTCTTTATTCATTAATGGTAGCCATAGCACACAGAGGGGACTCCCACATCAACCCATGTAAACCATTTGTGTTGAAGAATGAGGGCTGTGATGAGCCAACTCACCCCACACTGGCTCTGGGAAAGCTGGCACTATTCCTTGCTGGCCCTGAGAAGGCATCTCCTGTGAACCTGGTACAGGATACCTGGTCCTGCATCTTATGTAGAGCTGACCCTGTCATTTAGGAACTCCCACATTTGGTAAAGCAGGCTCCACTCTACACTAGCATGGGAGAACTGTCTCTGCCCCTTGACTGAGGTGGGTGGTCCTAGCAGCCCAAAAATGACCAACTCACCTATCACCCAGGCACACATCAAGGGTTCTGAGCTGGCACACCCTGACATCTACCCCACCTATGAGCTGCTGGAGCCTGTTAAAGGACATGTCCTGCTGAACCATAGCAGCAGGAGCTCCATGACTCAGCAACAGCAGAACATTAAAGAGGAATTTCAGTGAGTGTCCACTACTGATGGTATGCCAGAAGCCAGAGGCCTTGAAACAAACCAACAACTCATTACACAATAAACATTTTCAAGTAAACCTGTTTGGACAAAAGTGTCTACATCATGGTGCACCACAGCTCCCAGTGCCACTAAGATGAATGAGGAGATAATGGAGAGGTGAAAAAGATGGTGCAGCAAAATGTTCCTTCATTGTTTGGTTGGTTGTTTGGTTTGGTTTGTATAAATTATATTTTTTATTTTTTGACTTTTATTTTCCTTTTGGTTCTTTTTAAATTTTTCTTTAGGGTGAACACTGCAAGAATAAAGGGCGGATATGGAGAGATGGGGAAATGAGTGGAATTGGGGTGCTTGATGTGATATTTCTAAAGAATCCATAAAAATATGTTTTTTTAAAGATCTGGTTGAGGGCAAGCCCATTGTACATTTTCTTAATTAGTGACTGATGTAAAGGGCCCAGCCCATTGTTGATGATGCTATCTTTAAGTTTGTGATCCTAGGTTTTATTAAAAATGCAGACTGAGCAAATCATGGGGAACAAGTCAGTAAGCAGTACTCCACCATAGACTCTGCATCAGTTCCTGCCTCCAGGTTCCTGTCTTCCTGAGTTCCTGTCTCAACTTCTTTTGATAATGGACTGAGATATAGAAGTATAATCTGGATATTAGCCCCCCCCCCAAGTTAGGTTGGTCATGGTGTATCATCACAGCAATAGCAACCCTAACTAAAGCACTAACCCAGCTATGACACCTATGAACCATGATTATTATCATGGCAAGATGTTCCTAAGGGTGCAATGGTGACACTTGTATCTTGGTAGTATCCAATAGCTGCCTAATTGGACTTAAAGGTCACTCAACAGGAAGGAAATAATTCCTTGTAGAGTAGACCTAGCCATTAACCCATGGATAGTGAGATCATGGATCTTAGAGGAGATTCTATTCTTGTCACTGTACTAAACCAGTCTAATCCCTCACTGAATTCTAAAGACTTGTCATTACACCCACAGATAAGTGTCGCTCTTCCCCATCATCAAAAAGTTTCTTTTGAAGCATATGGAGACCATTACATAAAAATGTAGAGAATATTGACTGGTGAGAAAAACACCTCCAATCAATGCATCTACAGCAAAATCCTACACCTAATTCTCAGGGAACATTGTGAAAGAGGAGGAAGAAAGATTTTAAGAGTCAGAAAACTATGAACAATGGCCTTTGAGATGAAATTGTGTGCTTATCCTAGAAACAAAAATAAGAACCAGGGCAGCACCCTGGGTTTCTTACTCCTTACCCCTATAGCCTTCTTCAATGTCACATGGGAAAAATGATGCTTTCAGAGTTCCTGCTGAGAAAAGTTCCTGCTCTGGGACCATGAAGCTCACACATCTGTCCTGGATCTACAGTAGTCCTTTGGGTGAGTCTCTATTCTTTTCTGTGAGCCTCAGCATCCCTCATGTGTTTCCTTTTGGAACTGGCTTGAACCTTGTGCTTACCCCTTTTAGAGCCATTTTGTATGCCAGCCTCTCCCCATTACCACATATTCAGAGTTCTTCTTAGAGGGCTGAGAATTTATTTCTACAGAAGAGGGTGTGGAGCTCTAAGGTTCACCTAGGGCCTTCTGTATGCCTTCTAATTCCAGGATATCCTGGACCCTTGATTCCTTTTAACAGGAGTTTAGCTTGCCCATGGAAAACCTGGCAGGAGGGCTCAGTGGTGATGAATGGGTCACAGTAGTGGTGGGTTGGGATCCTTTCTATACTTACTTAGAACCAAGTCCTTCTCTCTTTGGGCTTCAGTCTGTTGCAACTCCAGGTCCATCTGCTTCCTCCTGCCATGGGTGGGGTCCAAGACCTGTTGACCTTCCTCTGTGCCACTTGCCTCTTTGAATGGAGCTGCTTCCATGGTGGTAGAGACCCCAGATAATGACTGTCCATGCAACTCTATCCCATATGGTTTTACATCTCCCTTTTGTTGTTTCTCCAAGCAGGAGTCTGGTGGATTTTGTCTCTGCCAGCCATTTCTGCTCTGTGAAAGGGTGTTTAAATGGAAGTGAAAGGAGGAGAGCTAGAAATAAAAGAGCAGAGCAACTTCTATAGATTGTCCTCTGATCAGAACAACTGAAGGACTCTAGTCTCCCCTGGGGACAAAGACTGTATACAGGTGCAGACGCTTGGGCTTTAAAGGGCAAAAGAAGAAGTCCTGGTAGAAATATTGGGATGTGTTCTTTATGGTTTCAAGGTCAAATGATGCCAGTGGATGTTCTTGTTACTGCGATGACTTACTGGTCAGGCAGGTGTGCTGTTATGATGAATTTGAGGTTTTTCAGCTTGTCTTAAGCTTTCTTCTTTTAGGTTGAAGTTCATATCTGAACCTGAGGATAAATAAAAAGAAGAGGAGGTGTATTTTCTTGTTGGTTGTTTCCTATGGGAGGGAGATAATGTGGTGTGGGAAAATTCTGTATTCTGACAATTATATTTTAAATAAATGCCAATTGGCCAGGAAGGAAGTATAGATGGGACAACCAGACAGGAAGTAGAGGCAGGGCAACGAGAACAGGTAAGGAGGAAGCCCATTCCTCCCCAGTTCTGTCCAGACACCAAAGAAGCAAGATGTGACCCGCCCCACTGAAAAAGGTACTGCGCCATGTGGCTAACATAGATAACAATAATGGTTTAATATATGTTACAAGAGTTAATAATAAGCCTGAGCTAATGGGACAAGCAGTGTTTTAATGAATACAGTTTTTATGTGATTATTTTGGGGCTAAGCTAGTGGGCAGCTGGGGCAACAAGCAGCCCACTCCTACTACAGAATGATACCCATTATAAGATCTTATACAAAGATTGAGCTAATGGACCGATCAGTTTATAACTTATGGAGACCTATGTGTGATTTTCTTTGGGGCTTACCAGATGTGGGAACTGGGCAGGACAGAAACCCCAACAAGTAGGTCCTCATGTTACAAATGGCACCAATGTGTGGACAACTGCATTCACATAAAGTCTCAGACAGCATGGGAAGTAATTCTAGAACAAAATAACAGCATTATGCATGGTTTCTTGGTAGCAGCAATTTCTCAAAGATTAGAGGTTCCTGTTTCTGAAGGCCTGACTCTTCCCCTTTGGCTGTAGTTATCAGTCCTAAGAAAGCTATGTGTGCAAATAGTATATATGGTGTGGTACTTCTGTGGTTAGACAAAACCTCATATTATCCTAGGCTTCCATATTAGTACTTGATAAACTTTTGCCCTAGACTCAAATTTCTCAAAAACAAGTCCCAGAAAACAAATCTGAATCTGATCTCCACCCAGAAATGTGCAATTGTGATCATCTGCTTTTTTATGATAAGGATATGACTAGCAATATTGTTTCTGTACCTTGCTTATGTAGTGAAGGATTATTTTCTGATCATCCTGACTGCTCAATCATGGCAAATCAGACCAGCTCTTTATTTGTTTCATCTTTTTGCAGTTTTACCTTCTAAATCCCTTCTTGGTGGCATGCCTAAGACTTGGTTTCAAGACTTTCATCCTGCTTGCAGTAGCAATAAATCAATTTAATTATAATTGGATTGAGTCTATGTTTTTTCCTGATAGCTTTGAACACTATAACATCTCTCAATAAACTGCCTTGCCATAAGTCATCAGTCTATAAAGTCTTCCTGATCAGCAATTGCTCTTGCCTTTTTATTTGCCATCTCTGGCACTCCCACTTAACACCTCACTATTTGAGATCCTTGTTTCTGAAGGTTTGGATCAAGTTGCACCTAATATGAGTTACAAATACAGTAAAAATCATCAAGAGTGAGACTGGCACCAGTTTGCATCCCTCCCCTTTCCATCTGCTCCATGCTAGGGCCCATAGTCCCAGTAGCTTTACATGAGGCCAGAGTGGTTCTAGGGACCACATGTCTTACCACCCACTTAAACCCCATTAAGCCTGCCCAACAACCCAAGATTCTTTTTTCCTGGACTCCATATTCTGGCCTTCAACTTCAAAAGAAGACTAGGCTTTTATTGGCAGCCAGAATAGTCCTAGAGACCCCAGTAAAGATATCACCAATTGTGCTCTGATAGTATTTAAAGTCTGCCAGCATCCCCAGACTGTACCCCCTATGCAGGCCTGCATATTCCATCATATAAATTTGGACAAAGTCTTTGGCTTTACCGAAGGACAGGCTGGATGCAGGGACTCTAATCCTGGCAGAAAATTTCTGCTACACTAAAGGCCACACTGTACTAGCTATCCCAGAGGCTAAGCAGATACTTGGAACTGTAGGGGCAGTGTTGGCACCCAAACCCCCAGAAGTTTTGCAGGCTCCCAAAACCACAGGACCTGAAGATTTGCTAGTAACCAGAATCCTTGACCTCTTAGGCCAGAAGACCAGAGAGGAAAGAGAAATGAAGGAATAAAACACCCATCTAACAAAGACAAATGCAGGAATCAACACCTATACCTACAATCGTTCTAAACATGATGCCTAAATGGCAGAGTAAGAACACAATCAATAACAGAAAAGACAATATGGCACCACAGAAACCAGCTTTCCTATTACAACAAAACCTAAACAATCCAACACAGCTGCAGTACAAGAAAATAGCGTTAGAAACAACTTTATGAATATAATAAAGGACCATAAGGAAAAAAATGAAAAAAAAACTTAAAGAAATTTTGGGAGAAAAACAAACAAATATTGGAGAAAATCAGTAAATGTTTTAAAGAATACCAAGAAAGCCATGAAAAAATCAACAACAGGTGAAAGAAACAGTCCAATACACGAAAAAGGAAATAGACATAATAATGAATACTGTGGGAGCTCCTTCCACACCTTCAGCCAATAGCCCTTAAGATACCAGCCCATTTGGGCATAGTCTCTTATATTATAAATGGAGCTGTAAAGTTTGCACTCGCTCTCTTGCTTCCAGCTCTTGCTTTCAGCTCCTAGACTCTGTTCCTGTCCCCATTCATACAGAGGACTGTGATCTAGGATGGTGATCTGTAAGTCTCTCCTAAATAAATAACCCTTCATTATACACAATTCTGAACTAGTGTGTGGAATTATTTTGTAATTTCTGCCATCAACTGGCACCTGAACATGGGGAACAATCCACACTCTGTGGGATTGTTCTGCCAGCCACATGGCACATTGGGCACTGATTCTCCCACTCATGACTCTAGTTGGCACTCAGATGCAGCAAGCTGCTGCTCAGTGCTCCCCAGCTTGTGACCCAAAAGTTGTCTCTCTGTGCATTACACACCGCCCGCACACTGCTGCCTGCAATCCCCATGGTGTACACAGTCCACAACTCACACTGACAGAACACTTTGAGTTTTCTTTTTTTTTTCTGTTCCCCAAATCTCAGAATAGTTTATTACCTTAATAACTGCTCTTAATTTGTTAAACAAAGCATATTTTTCAGTACCTAAGTAAGCAACATGTGCTGTTCACCGCTGATAATTTCTCTCGGCCATGTGGCTGCAACTGCAACACCTGCTGACCAATAACAATTATTACACCTTGCCGGGCGGTGGTGGCGCACGCCTTTAATCCCAGCCCTCGGGAGGCAGAGGCAGGCGGATCTCTGTGAGTTCGAGACCAGCCTGGTCTACAAGAGCTAGTTCCAGGACAGGAACCAAAGCTACAGAGAAACCCTGTCTCGAAAAACAAAAACAAACAAACAAAACAAACAAACAAACAAACAAAACAATTATTTCACCTACTCCAGACAATTAGGAAACAGCCTATTCCAATACTCAGTAATACAGTTTTGGGTATATACCCAAAGGATGTTCAGTCATACCACAAGGATATTTGCTCAGCTATGTTCATAACAACATTTGTCATAGCCAGAGCCTGGAAACAACCTAAATGTCCCTCAATCAAAGAATGGATAAAGAAAATGTGGTACATTTACACAATTGAATACTACATAGTGGAAAAACGACATATTGAAATTTTCAGGCAAATGGATGGATCTAGAAAACATCATATTGAGTGAGGGACCTAAACCCAGAAACACAAATATAATATGTACTCACTCATAAGTGGCTTTTAGACATAAAGCAAAGAAAAACCAGTCTACAATTCACAACCCCAAAGAACCCAAACAACAAAGAGGCTCCTAAGGGAGACATACATGGATATAATCTACATGGGAAGTAGAAAAAGACAAGATATCCTGTGTTTATTGGGAGTGTGGGGATCATGGGAGAGGGTAGAGGAGGAGGGGAAGAAGGGAGGGGAGTGGATAAAAATATATAGCTCAGTAAAAGCAATAAAAAATTAAAAATATAGAACACGAGATTTGATTCAACCAAGGCATATATACTAAAAGCTTTGTTCTCCTCTGTGAAATATTTGTACAAATATTCCACCCATTCAGACTCAGAGAAGCCCAGGACTTCCACCCAAGGTGGATGTTCCCCAAAATAAAATGAACTGCAGAGCTATTTTACAAATGTGAGCAGCAAGGAAGCCTCAGACAGAATGGATTTTCCCCAGCAAACTCCCCAACAGTATGTGCACTGGCTGTAAATAGTTCAAGGCAGACACAGCTCAAGATTATGCTTTTCCAAGAACCCTGCTGGCTCATCTATGCTATCCAGAATGAAGAGCAACTTCTAGAGCCGAGACAGCCTGGACTTTTGTTATGAGTTCAGCCAGACTCAACTGCTTGAACTGGGGCAGCTCTCTGAAGCTGAAGTAGAAGACATGCTGGAAGTGATCCCTGTAGAGATGGCCTTCCTCCCATGCTCTCCTCACCTGCCTGAACAGTGTTGACTTTCAAATTCCAGAAGTCCCCCCTAATATGACTAATTGAGGCTCTTACTGGGTATCTGGGTCTGGATAAAATAAGTCTTAGATTTCAATCAGATGTCCTCTCTCCTCTGCTACATCCTGAC